AATAGACAGAGACACGTGTCCTCCAAGTCCAAAGAGTGCTCCCTATTTTCTGCTCCCGAACTCGAGCAGAAAACGATCGAGCGGTATCATCCATAATCGTACCTCGTTATCGTGCGCTGCCTCCGTTCCGTTTCGATCTCCGTCACGAGTTTCCATCTAATCTCGTGCACCGGCGCATCGATGTCGATACGAATCGGTGAATTAACCGTTATTCATAATTCAAGGTGTTTTATCGTGCGGGGGGGAAGGAAACCGGGGTGGTGGTGGCGTGTGACGGGAAACTCTGTAGCTTATATACAACCCGGCCGTATCTCACCTTCCATGCTTTCATTATCAGTTACCATAGATCATCGCTGGCGAGTACCAATGACGTCGCATCCGTTCATCCCTCATCGCGGGTACGTCGTTCGATGATGATGATGACGCCGTTCGATATCGAGAGATATATAGAACGATATGGTTGGTTGTTAACTGTGTGTCTAGATAGAGAGATATGGATATTTTGAATGGATATTTTTCTCAAAATTGTGCCACTCAATTATCGTGCTAAATACAGTTTATAATTATCGTCGTCGTTGATTTTCCAATTGGATAGTGGAAGGATAATAGCAGAGGTTCGATGGAAGGTAAAATGTGCGCGCGACGAAATATCTTTTGGATTTTTGAAGTTCGATGATTCGTTGTGGATAATTGAAATGTAATGAGAGTTGCTTGAAAGATTGGAATGAATTTAAAAGCGAGGAACGACACGTATGATAGTAGTGATATAATAGTAGAGTTCTTGTATTAGAACTGGGAAAGGGGACTTTCTCGCTCGAAAAATTCCAATTTATCTAAAAGTTTGTCGGTTTACTCGAAGTATCGGGCAAATTTTATTTTTTACCATAATACTTCATCCCGAAAGTAACTTTTAAAAGTTGATATATGATTCCATACATCGTTATACATATATCTTGGAAAACTGTATTAAACTGTGTGTACATTTGTGAATTTGTTAGAAATTTAACACCGTACATCATTATAAATTCGAAGAGAAGGAAAGAATTTGAAACGTTTCTTCGTCGTAAATCACCACGATCGTAGATTAACAATAATTGATGGGAAGAAGAAAAAGATATCGCGGCTTGATATCTCCAGTTTCGTTTCTGGAAGTAGAAAAGAGGATTCGCAGCGTAAACAACGTTTAACAGCCGTGATTCATCAGTTTAATCCAATTGCAAGACTGACTGAGCTATCTCTGAGAACCGATTTCGAGACAGAATTCGATAAATTAATCGTTCGATCTTGGAGGATTCTCGACTCTTGCAATTTCTATTTACAATTCCTTTTCTTCTCGACGATTAATATTTATTCGATTCGCTCTTTACCAAATTATACATTTTTTTTAATTATACATTAATTTATTAACAGAATACTTCGAAAAGATTATTATCTTAGAAGAAACTTTTCGCATGGATACAAATTATCCACCTTGTAAAAGTACGTGAGAATGATCGACGAAACGCTCCACTCTCCAATCGCAAATGCTTCCAACTTTTACATCTCACGTCACAAGAATACCGAAGAGAGAAACCGAATAGTCCGCTGTAAATCCAAAAAACAGACAGAGCCGAGTCGAAAGTTCGGCCATGATTTTTAACGCGGTTATAAAACGATTTATAAGATAATAAGCCGCTGGCCGACCTATTATTACCCGTTTCTCCACGCTCAATTTCTCACGCGCACGATAAAAGGAATGAATCTGTCGATTAGCGTCGAGGCCAACTGCCAATTAGCCTCTGCAAAAGCGGATTTCGATCCTTCCTTTTCCGCTCCAACCGAGTATATCGATCTCGAATAAGCGTATCGAAAAATCATGATGATACACTCCATATTATTCTTGTAACTTAAATTCATCTTTAGCAGGCAGATTTAAAAGTTTTCCTCGGGGAGGACGGTATTCTTTTTCGAACAGTTTGGAAAAGGCCACGCAGAGGTTTCGCCACGAAGAGTGCAATTCTAAATCAAAGTTTGAGTTTCCGAATTCCGGACGACAAGACGGGAAGGACGCTGGAAGAAAAGTTTGCCAAGTAAAAGGAAAACGAAGAAGGAAATTTAAAGTAACGAAATTCTTTCGTGTCGCGAAATCTTTCGACAAATTTAAATCTACTTTGATCACGAACCCCTTTCGTTTAAAAACTAAAGATTCTCTAATTCTGTTTTATTCGTTGCGATATATTCGTCGATAATCTTAACAGACGTGTAAATTTACAGCGTTAACTGTTTGAATTTAATTGAACCACAGTCGCTTTTCTTTTCTCAGAAGAACAGAAGAACGTCATATTCGATCGATAAATTCGGATCAAAATCGTTTGCGAATTTGTTTATATTCTAGGAGAAATAGATAACAGTTCGTGCTTGCATAAATATGTTCGATTAGCTTGTTTCTTAATTATTGTCGACCACCACAGAATTACACTTTTCTCTGTCTCTCTCTCTCTCTCTGTCCTTTGCTTCTCCATTATCTCGACGCAAAATGATAGGATCGTTCGATGGCTGGAAATCTGGAACACTGGTTCCGATGTAAATAATAGAAATTAGTTTCCCCCAGTTTTGATAAATGTTTCATTATCCATTCTTCGGTGGCCATTCGCATGGCGTGACACGCCGCTTCGCCGTCTGGATAACGAGCCACTGTTTTATCATCTCGGAATAACGATCGAGCCGCATTTCCACGCCCGCGAATCCGCGGATTCGTTTTAATGAGCGCCTCCAATTCCCCGCGAATTGTTGCCCTCCTTCGATCTTTAATCCACGAGAGCTCGGTTCCGAAATTAAAAGAACGGGGGCGGATATTTATGGGAGAGAGAGGGGCGATCGTTGAAATTTTTCTCCGATATTTTTTTAATGGGGAATAAGATCGGTGTGTTTACTTTCAACGTTTCTCTAATAACGATCGTGATTGGTTAGAATCGATAACGGTTTTTTAAGTGAACAGCTGCAATTTGAGAATTTATACTGGTTCGTACTCGCTTATTTCGAAAATAGAATAAATAATAGGAAAAATTTAATTCGAGGAAAACCGGAAGGAAGGTGGAACACACAATTAAATCGATTAACGGGGAATGAAATTTATAAAATCCCTTTGAACTACAATTCAAAACGATTCTTCGCTCCAAATTCAAGGATTGCATTATATTGGCCGTACAGAAAAATACGATACAGAATCCTTGCTCACATTCGTGCGACTCGTAATGAGAGAGAAACTTTCAACGATCTTTTCCACCCCCGAATAAATAATTCGCCTGTACTATAAGATTCCAGCGGATCTCCTCGATCAATCTCCCCCCTCCTCCTTCATGAAATTACAATCAAATCCGAATTGCATACGAAGTGATCAGGTATGCATACGGATTTGCTCAACATCCGATCCAATCGGATCCCCAACGTCACAATTATCGCGATCGGGCGTATCGGGAAGGGATGCCTATTAGGAAAGTAATTAATCGACTGTTGTTACGAAGCCAGCGCAGGATTGATTTGACGAGAGGCGTGGACAAACGGATTCGTCGGCTTATCGAACACGTTCCTTTTTTTTTTTTTTTTCTTCCCTCCAACAGGGTGTTCTCGAACTCCTGTTTTTTTTTTTTTGCAATCGCTGGCCAACGTCCAAAAAAAGTGAACCGCAAATGGAGAATCGATGGGACAACAAGGGGACTCATTAATTCTGTAACTGCGTTGCAGAACGGCCGCGTATCTTTCCGACCGGCGATCTGTCACGTTCCAAAAGGAACGTATAAACAAAACGAAGCAGTTTCTGTACGGTTTATTAACACGATCCTCGTATTCGTGGAATACGAATTTATTTTTATCTCGCGTGAAGTTTGCAATTATTGGTACTTTTTTTTTTTTTTTGTCGAAATTTCGTTAAAGATTTTACACGAAAAACGTGTACGTGTATACTTGAGAGTAATTGTGAGCAGAGATTGTAGTACAGCGAAAATTGTAGTCGCTGAAGATTAAGTTTTTGAATGTTGTCGAAATATGTGAATGGAGAAACGACGGGTAATTGTGTGAATATTAATTCGATTCAAGAAGATGTCATCTTGAAATGAAAATATTTTGTTAAAAAATATATTATTATTAATAAATTCGTAATATTGTATTGTAGTTCAACTTAGGAAATTCTAATGGAGATATTTGATATTTTGTTTCCATTCTACTTCTCCTGCCATATTAAACGTTTCAACGCGATATTTCCAATTTTTTTTTTTTTTTGGATCCGTGCAAAATTGTCCATTCTGACGAATTAAAAATCGCATGTCCGCATTGGCGGCATCGATCGTGAAATTCGATTAAAAAGTTGAATTCCGCGACAATTCATAACAATTTTCGCGGAATGGAAACTCTCGAACGTGTGCAGCTGTCGTGTTAAAAGTCGCGCGCGTTCCCGAGTATATCACGTGTTGTAGTAACGGATGTTGCTCGTGAACCGATTAAACTGTTTCTTCCGTCAAAGTGCGCAAAAGTGTCCCACTTTTATTACGATCTTTGGGAAAAAAACTTTGTAATGCACGATATTTCTGCCTCTCCATTGTTTCGAATCTTTTCTCTGCTCAGATTATAAGATTTTAAATAGATGTTAATAGATTAAAGATGTATTTGTAGAAAATTCACGTATTGTAATAGAGAATGTGCGTGAGACAGAAATATTCCAAACAAAGTATACGTTTTTGTAGTATAATTGTTACATTATAATTGCTTACATATCGGAAATTTCTCAGGAAATTAATCAAATCCATCTTCTAAACAATTTTTACAAAATTGATTAGCATTTAATTCTTTAGAAACAAACTGGTTAGTCTTCAATCGATCAATTTTTGAGTATCTTTGTTGTACGAATAATTATTGTTCACAAAAACCAGATTACTTATCGCTTCTAATAGATATAAGATCCAACATCCAAGTAATATTCGAGTGTTCTCATTGTTAAGAGTATGCACGTAACATGATTATTACAAGCTCGACAATCATTCGTCAAACTGTCATAAATCTTGGACGAGAGAAGAGTTATAACCGGATCCAGGCCCATTGTACGATCCTCGTCACCGGTTTCCTCTGGCGCGGGATTACGAATTTCCAATTTTCTCCTCTTGTTGTCCTTCCTTTTCCCCCCTCCCCGCTTTGCTTTCGATTCGTCAATCCTGCGATCGTGGCTTTTTCAGAATCTGCGACGTGGCGATTGGCGTGTCGCGGGTGCACAGTATGATTCCTCCCGGAACAAACGATATCCCCCTCCGCGAAAATCCATTTAAATCCTTTTTTTTTTAAGGAACCAAATTCCTCGTTTCGACCTGTCAGCGTTGAAAAATTGAGTTCGCTCTATTCTTTTTCCTTTTTTTTTTNTTTTTTTTTTTTTTTAATTATTCCTACACGGTATTCCGCGTGGTCGAGTAAATTGAAATTCAAATGACACCTGTTTTTTTTTTTGAACATCGAGATTTGAAAATTTGAGTTATCAAAACGTTTGAAGAAACTGTCGCCACTTTGATCCGAAGCTTTTTCATTTTCGTTCGGATCGAAACATTGACCTTGTAACTCGAAATTTCTTCAAGATACTTTGAACTTTGAATAAAAGTAGTGTAGATCAGATGCGGATTTACGACGAGAAGTCAAAGATCGGAAGAATTGGAACATCCAACATCGAGCAGCAGAAATATTTCGCGAGGAGAGATATGAACATTGGCGGAAAATTTTCAATGCTTGATACTCTTCGAGCCGGAAATCGAGATTTATCGTCATTTCACTGTCATTTTTCCCCGGATGTTAGCAAGACAATGCCCTCTGTTTCCTGGTTTTGTCCCAGAGCAGGCCATGCTCTCCATGCGTTAGAGTTTTAAAATAGGCGGCGTCACCGTCGAAGATTCGCATCCATTCCCCTCCCCCGCCCGCTTTTCGTTTGATTTATGCGGTTGCACGGTGACACGGTGATAAATGAGTGTATATACTGGATGCACTTGGGATGTGTATCGATCTCTCCTCCTCCTCGATTCAATCCATTTGCCTCGATCCTGCTCTCGAGATAACATCGTTCGATCGATCGCGTTCGACAACCTGCATCAACCTGTTTTTAATAATCGTTCGATGATACTTTTCGCTTCGCTTTCGCCAATCTTTAAATGCTCAATCAAAAAGTTTTTCGATTATCGTACACTTGACGTATATATATAATATTCATCGAATCGTCGTAAACTTCATCGACACGAAGAGATCTCACAGAGATCGAAGATTTAATATTACGATCATCTCGAAATTATACGCTTCCTTCGCGAATTGTCATCCACGATTATCATATTGTATAATAAAAAAAAAAAAAAAAATTCTGCAAAATCTCTTGTGAGAAAGAAATCGTTTTCCATCTCGTTTCGCTCTTAACCGACAAATAATTAACAGACGGAAGGGAACGAGGCGTTCAACGCGGTTGCACGAACAATCAAATTGCGCGCATTCCGCTCGACGCAGCAACACCCTCCTCAACGTATCCGACTCCCTTGCTGAAGAGGATTCGCGAGCCGATAAATCGAAATCGGCGTGGAAATCGGACGAGATCGATCCAGGGATATATACGCGCGTAAAATGAATAATTAATGCATTCAAATGGGACACACTTAAATTGTGTGCGGCGTTTCCGCGTCTCTTCCACCCAAATATCCATTACACGCATCCTACACGGGAATCGAGAGCGTTTCTCATTTGAATTCGAACACGAAGACGGGGTTCTCTCGTGTAGAAGCGTTGCTTGCGCCCGTGTCACGCCCGCGATTTCGTGTTCACGTATAACACGAGCCCCCCTTCAATATATTCATATTCGAAGTTGCATGTCTCTCCGCGGTGCTTCAATCTCCATGGAAGATTGAACGGAGATCGTGTTTTCGGGACCTGTAACTCCCAACGCTCCAATTTTCGGCGCGATTTTGAAACATTCTTGTTCTTCCTTTTTTTTTTTTTTGCGATGTTGACGATTAAAGATTTTCGAAAGATTCGAAGGATGAATTTACAGAAAAAAGTACAAAATTGTATAAATACGAAGAGAG